TGTATTTATATATAATTATATATTATAAATAATAATATCAATCAACATAAACAACATAAAAATCTCAAAGCAATAAATTTCATACATTTACCATATAAAAGACAAGAATTTTTCAAAACAATCTCTAACGTTCAATCAATCCATACATCCATTTTTTTAACATCCTCCCTGAACTCCTCAGAAAACTTGATGCTCAACCTATCACTTCCCATCTATTTTCTAACTKTTTCTTATATTATAGTAGAACAACATTTGTTACTTGGCATAGACAACGAAAGCCCCTTCTAATTACAAGGTGTTTGTAAAGGTGATAGCCATAATGCAACAATTTCTTGTGAACTGCAAACAGTGCGAATTTGCCTCTTTATCTGCAACAAGTCAATAAGCCATSAGAACATTTCATTACAAAACTGAATATTTAAAATTTAAATTCAATTTTAAGTTTAATGTTCTCCATTTTAAGCCTCACAAAGTAGYTGTTCCTGTTGAATGAAATCGATCTGAAAAAGATAAAAGAAAAAAGATAAATCATACCGAAACAAAAAATAGGGAATATCATATTTATCTGAAATGCRCCAAAATATACGATATTTATAACTTTTCTTTCCTTAAAGAGAGATTGGTCCTCYGAAAARCAGGTTTCTTGAATATAAGTATACATGTTTGTTGTTTAAATAGGTCGTCTTCGAGTCATGCAACTAATATCTGTCAAGAGTAGCTCCAACAACAGAACAAGAAATAAGAAACATCATATCTGATTCCATAAAGACAGAGGTCTACACATGATATGCCAACAATTCTTATCATCATAAAGGCTATAATATCAAGCCCAAAAAACACATAAAATCTCCTTAATGACAACATATTGGTTGAATCAATGACCAACCAATAAAAGCTATAATATACGCCTGGTCCATCAGTCAGAAAGAACTTTTTAGAGGGAGGGGCCGTTTACCAAACACTTATACAATAAGTTCTTATCGGTAAAATTTTACACAATCATTTTCTTACCGGGTAAGATTTTAGTTCACCAAAATGACATCGTATGCAACAATTTACCTGGTAATTGCTTACCGTGATAAAAGTCGTCGTCTTCACTTACTGGATAAGACTCTTGGTACTTGTCTCGCTCTTACCGGGTAAGATTTTTGGTCCTTTATCATATTCGCCATCATGACAAGCTTTCATTTATAACATAGAAAAGCGCAGTCACGATACAATTATTACATGATTTTCATATAAACATTTAAGTTTATAATGGATTCATTGACATCGAAATGAAAAAAGACAAATGAAATTATTTTGGAACAGATTTAAGTGTAGTGCAAAGGTGAATAATCCCAACCAACATGATATCAACCACATAACCTGAAACAAAATATTGTGTATGATCACTTGAATAAAAAGAACTTACGAATCTGAGTGTCATCACATACATGGGTCACATATGGGTTGAAGCGTAACCCAAGAGAGGTTACAAACTGTTTTGAAACATGGGGCCAATTCACATCAGGATAAGCCACAACATGTGCATTATAGTTTCCAACTGGGTACTTTGTGTTTGCAATACAATTACATACACCTATGAAAAAAGATATAATCATGATTAATAATCCTTCACGCTATTGTGGCATTAAATTGTAGCTAACATCATAAACACAGAAAAGTTGTAGGGAGCTGCTGTCTACAAGCCTTTTGAATCCTAGTTTTGGTTTATGTTGCTTGTTCTCATGTTGAATCCTAGTTTGATTTTATGCAGGTCTGTTCAGACTCTGAGGTAAACTATAAGTTGAACTATCTTAAATCATACTTCAAAATGGCATACATTCTAAATGGACCCTGGTTTAATTACTTGTTTACGCCATTTCTCAATTTCATGCATCAATCTAGCCCTACCAACTATGGGTGTGTGAGTATTTGCCTTAACAAGAAGTACATGAAGAATAAACCATAAATATGATCTTACAAGATTATTGTAATTCAAAGTTCTTTTTGAAGTTAACTAAAATCTAATGGTAGAAGACGATTCAAGAAACAGATCAAAGGCTTTGGAACGCCTTTTCTATCGACAAATCAAAACAAGATTAGAATCGCATCGATAAAATAATTACAAAGAACAAAAGCCATGATAACAAAATAGCTCCAACTATTGAAGTATGTTTGAATCCATAACTCAAAGCAAACACATAGAGAAATTCATAATGCTATTAAAAAAAATAAAAAATAATGATAGGGGCAAAATGACAACACCCACCTGACTGAAACAATTGTTGTTTTGCTTAGATATTCCAATCCTGTTTGCAACATCCAAAACATCATAATCTGGAGTTAACTGAACATAAGCTTTCTTCGTTCCATCAGGTCTGCATTGCACTTGGACAAACTTAAACAAAGTGCTCATTGATGAACATTAACCAAGATACAGTGCACACATGTATATGAAAGTTTGGCTACAACAAACACCAACATAAATGTAAATTGCTAGGGTTTTGAAATGGAAATGGACAACACCTCAGAGAAATCGCTAGGGAGCCGTGAAATGTAAATCAATACCTCAGGAAAATCGTTGTTGAAACTCAATACTCCACAACCCTGGTTATAATATTGACAGTCATCTTGGGAGCAATGGATTTGAAGCAAATTTGAAGTCTGAAATCGGTCGTCTTGGAGCCATGAATTTGAAGTCTGAAATCGGTCGTCTTGGAGCCACGAATTCGAATTTGAAGTCTGAAATCGATCGAAATCGTCCATATTGAAAGAAAGCAAGGTTTGACCTTACCGATTATAGCTCAAAATATTCCCTTTGAGCTTGTAATGGTTCAACACCATGGAACTAAGTGAAGGTGTTGGGCAAAACAAGATACAACTAACTATCAGTATCCCAATATCCTTAACCTTCACCCCTGTTTTGGCCAATAGCTCATCAATCGCACCAAACATCACGATMTCCGCCTCCTTCCGAGCCTCCACCATGCTCGGGTTGGGTGGAACCTGAAGCACCGCCTCAGGGAAATAARTATTCTRACCTAAAATAGAACGTTCCAGTAGCAGACTGACATTGTGGACTTTCTAAACAGTATTCTAAGTACGATCATAATCAAAGCATATAAGAACACATATGGATATATATACAGAGAGGAATAGAAAGATTGGGTCATCTCATCCTGGTGAAGAGCGATCCAAACATGAACTTTACCATTGATTGCCAGAACACAAAAGCGCCCAATGACATCCCAAAAAATGGCTAAATAGAAATCAACGAGATTGTGTACCTGTTGTTCGAGCAACTGATGCAGAGAGGAGAAGAGAAGATCATAAGATCAATCGATACGATGGTGATGATCACAATTGAGCGATTGAGCGATTTAGGGCTTCTGGTGGTGATTGAGCGACGAGAAGAAAACGAGCATAAAAATATAATTTTGATTTTTTATTTAATATAAATCTATATAGATCATATATTTTTTTATTTAATTTTAATTTATTTTTAATATAAAACTTTTAGATACACTTTTAAAGAGTAATTAAATACCTTTATTTAAAAGAAGTTTAAAAAAGTGTTTCTAAAAATTGATGTAACTCTTTGGAGACATTTTTTATAAAAAACTTCTCTAAAATTTTTAATGACATTTCTTACGCCGTATAATTAGCCTATAAATCCTTCTTTAAATGTCGTCCAACCTTTAGTTACATTTTTCATTTTTGTCATTTAAATCCTTCTCTATAACGTAGCTTTAGATACACTTCTAAAAGCTTCTCTGAAGATTTCTTCTCTAAAGCTCATTTCTCTTGTAGTGTGTACTTGAGTTGAACTGATGTCTTAGTGGCATTCCGGTCTTCCTGACCATTCCCCTGGTGCATCTACCATCCGAGGTACCTACGCCATCATCAACCTGACAACCCTTTCTGTCTTGAGTCCTGTCGGGCACACTCCCGAACTTCTGACTCTTAATACTCGTGTACCTTCCGTACCATTTCTGAGCAAAAACAAAGTATTCGAGTGGGTGCAGAAGATAATCTATAAACAATCTATTAAATGTCTCACCATAACATTCTGAAAAACCAAAACTCTCTGCAATCTCGTTCCAAAGTCCATTCACGGTGATGATTTCGTGTCCTCCATAACCTAAGATCGATTTGTAAAGATCGAATAGACACACTTCCAGTCCCGATACCTTC